GAAGCAAAGACCATTTCTAAACAGTATTATAAAACAGCGTCATGTCTCAAGTATTTGCTGACCATTGATCTCAGTACTTGATGGATTTGAATGTGTGTAATAAAGTTTAAGAATATTTCATTGTTCCGTGTACTATGTGAAACCCTGACTTGACTGTTTTGATTCTCTGCTTGAAAATACAGACTTTTCTCTTAAAACTTAATAGAAATGCACAGAGTCTGCATTAATGTTATGGTTTTAAACACTGTGGCCTGTGTTTGTCTTCTTAGCATAAACTCTGGGAAATGGAACTACACAGATAAACATGCACTTGTGTGTATGTATACAAGAAAGAAGAAGATGCCACTTACTGGTTTTAGAGCCCAGAGGTGAATTTTGACAGCTTTCCGGGGAAGCTAAGTTCTTTGGAGACTGAAGTTCCTATGAGATTTGTGAAAATAAGCAGCAGGAAAAGAGAGGGAGGGAGAGGAGAGTATGTGCATTTAGTGCTCCCAACAAAGAAGATACTTTTATTCACTCTTACCTTTTGTTAGACACCAGTGTTTGTGTTGAGCACCAAGTATGAGACATAGGTCTGTAGGATGTGTTGAGCTTCATTGATTCTGTCATGTGTTATTACCTCTTTTTATTGTAATTGCCTGGCAGTCAGGGAGTTAAAAAATAAAATAAAATAAAATAAAGACATTATTAGTCTTTGGTATTCTGTTAGTGCATGTAAATTCTTAACATTTCACTATCTGAAACATGAGACTGCTATTGGAATGAACTTTTCTTTTGGAAAGGGAACTGCTTGAATGAGTAGCAGAAGGTAGAAAGTGTGTGTGCATGGGAAGGCATGCTTTTCTGTCATTGCTAAGCAAGGTGTAATAAAGATGGTGTTTTTTCTGGCTGAGGAATTGCACTGAATACTAAAAGCCAGCAGATGAGAGTGGGGTCAGTTTTCAGTATTAGAACGTTAAGTGTTTTTGGGCAGAGTTTGAATGAATGATGGTTCTGCAGTGGCTTATATGAACACCTTGCAGAGGGAGAAAGGCAACCGACAAGAAAAATATCAGTTGTATTTTATTTGTTTAGAAATAACTTGCTTTGCAGGACTGGGGTATCCTACCTCATGAAGATGCTCACATGAGGTTGTTTCTTCTGATTTCTCAGCAGTGTTCTCCCAGCCTGTATTCCAGAGCACACAGTGAGTGTGTAGTTCAAGATGTGCTCCTATCTAGCCACAGTTAGAATCACTGAGTTATGTTATTTAAAATGGTGTGGCACCAAATCATGCCAAATATAACACACAAATTTCTTAATAGAAAATAAAATTGTAGGTAAATATCGTTAGTCTCAGATTACCAATGGAGTCACAGGGAGAATACAACTGCCTGGATTACGGAAGTGCTTTGAAAAAATAATCTAACCCTGTTCTTAGGAGTTTTTCATTCTCTTTTTTAAGAAAAGAATTAAAAAAAAACCAACACAACCAAAACCAGATTTCCAACACTTACTGCTATAGCTATGTTCTCAAAATAAAAATCCTTGCTGCCCCAACTACTGTCAGTCAGCGTGATCTCAGCATGCGAGTTAGAACCTCTCACTGAGGATCTCAGATATTTCTCTGTGCTGTGAGCCAGTCTCCTGGCTCCTGCCTTAGGTATCCAAAAGTCATGAGGAGGAATTCAGACCCATAGTTTGTTTAGAATTAAGATCACTTGGGGATGGCAGTGTGGTAGTTTACTGGGAATAGTTGTAAAGTATGAGCGACATAGATGTAGTACTGCTTGTTTCTATAATTTGATCATCAGTCTTACTGAAGTCATCAATCTACACAAATTTGATTCATATTCTGATTTTAGGCATTCTTCCTGAATTTCAGTGAGTTATTTTTCACCTTAGTGCTTTCTAAAGCATTAGCTCCAATATTGATTGGTTTTTGGCAGTGTAAATAATTTGGTCAAGTTAGCACAATCTGAGATTGCGCCTTTCCTTCAGTAGTGCTTCAGTATTCAATGATAGATTCGAAATCCTGTTGTGTATGTAAGTGGCAATGATATGGCAATCTACAGTAGTTTCCAAGCAATTTGGTTTGCATACAAATTAATGGAGTGATAATTGTGCATTGCAACCTGTAGATAAAGAACATAGATGTGACATTCCCTTTGTCAAGCAATTCAGCTGCCTGCATAGGCACGCCAAATAAGAAAGCTATGAACAAATTGCAGTCAGACTTTTCCAAAAGAAAAACATCTGGATCTCACTGGATGTGTAAAATATGTTGAAATGGTGAGAAATTACATGGAAGAGAGAATAAGATGATCACTTATGAGTCAGTGTGAGCTGTTTTAAATGTCCATAAAATGCTTTTTTTGTAATCTTGTCAAGTTTCATCTAGTAGATGAACTTTGTAAATCACTTTGTATTAATCCAGACAGTTAAGTAGATATATCCAGCTTTGTGGGAGGTGACAATGGCATCCAAATGGCTTTTTTGCACCATTGCTGGCTCAGGGGCTGTACCTGCACAGGGATAAGGGTAAATGATTGGGGAAGGTCCCACATTGAGCTTTGTGAACTTAGCAGAGGCTGAAAGCCTGGCAAGAGCTTGGGCAGCTTGGGCATGGTGCACGTTCTGTTGGCCATGGGTGCCGGTGTGGTAACCTTGACCCACAGTCCCTGTGCTGCTGGCTCTTCGGCTTAATGTAGGCTGCTGTGTTTTAGCTGCTGTATGCTTATGCAGAGGCTGTGATTTTTAACTCTGCTGAACTAGTCAGGAAGAGATAAAACTTGTGTATAGTCAGCTCAATATAGTGAACTAAAATAAACTTTGTTTCAATTAAAGGGAGAGTATTTATACTGCTTTTATCTACTGGTTTAATAACATTTTTTAAAGTCACATCTTCAGGGGTGTGTGGACAATTTCATTGTGCAGATCAGCTCTGCACCCTCTACACTGTGGGTAGTTATTCCCAGACCTCCTTGAATTGGAACTGAGCACACTCAGATATTACTATGATATGGCTGCATTTTTTCTGAATGTTTTCTCTGCAGTATATGTAGATCCGTCAGCAAAAGGTGCCTACATAAAATGAATGTTGAACTGAGACCTTAAGTATAGCATTGATGTGACGTGATTTTTGAGGGAAAATGCTTTCGTGGAAGAAATTAATCTTTGTGTGCTTTCCCTGAGGATGGCAGTGATTTCTCAAAAGTATTTCTGTCTACTTCACATCTCACTCTAGTACTTCTACCAAGCAGTAGCTCAGTTTTAAGCTCTGTTGCTCTCCAGCTACACTGCATTACTGCTGTGGAACAACATTTGTGCTGCGTGTTTTGTTGTTGTTGGTTTTTTTTTTTTGTTTTTTTTTTTTCCCTAAAGGATGTATGTGGTTAACAGGGAAGCAAGGATTTCAATTGTTGTTGTGCTAGCATATGCTCCATTAGAATATGATTTATTATCATTATGGGAGTTTAGCTTTTTGGTCTGTGTAATCAAGTTTTAAGAATAGAACATTGATCATGAGGCTCAGTGAGATCTTGGCAGTGTGTATAGGTAGGTGACCGATGGCAATGCACAAAAGCTGTGGAACCAGACTCTTCCTCCAGTGCCCAGCAAGAGGTGAGAAGCAGTGGATAGATGCTGAAATATAGTAAATCCCATTTAGGCATTAAAAAAAAAAAAAAAAAAAATTTTACTCTGGGCACAACTGAATACTGATACAGGCTGCTCAGAGAGGTTGTGGAGTGTCTACCTTGAAGGCGTTCAAAAACTTGAGTGGATGCAATCATAAGCAGTCTGTTCCAAATGACCCTGCTTGAGCCGAGTGTTGGACTAGACGGGGGGGGAGGGGAGGGAAGGGCTTTCTGCCTTTATGATGCTATGATCCTGCCATAGGTACTGGTCATAGTAAGAAGTATTTTAATTCTAGTACTCCGGTGTTAAGGCTTCTTCATTTTATGATATGACATGCAATATAGAATGGCTGCCAATTTTTTCTATGAACAGATGTTGAAGAACAATGTCCCTAAAAAACAAAACAAACAAACAAGTGGTCATAGTCATCCATTCAGGGAGAAAGCTGGAAAAAAATGCTTTTAAGTAACTCAGTTTTGTATGGTGAATGACTTAATAATAAATGCTTACTTGTAATTACACCTGTAGGATTTCATATTTTCCCATGAGTGGCAAATAGTTCTGTTCAGTAAGAGACTTCAGAAACCAGGTAGGACTGGTCCATGAGTAATTCACAGATAGAAAACTCATTCTTTCCTTTTCTGTGTCAAGTAAGCTTCTCAGCTTCAAAACAATAATAATGTATTTTTCAAAAAGTATTTTAGAGACATAGGCTGTAGAGCATACAGAAGAACTTAATTACTAAGATTCTGAAGGTAAGTTTGCATTAATTTTTGAGAACTGGAAACTAGGCTAAGCTGAGCTCTGTTTCCTTACGTTACAACTTAAAACAGTTGATCTTGCCTGAGATATGTCTGAAATATAAAGCTTGTAACATTTTATTCTGACTAAATGTAATTTCAGCTGTAGCCAGTGGGCTGCCTTTTTTTTTTTTTTTTTAAATGCTAGCTGAACTTTGAATCTTGCTTAATATTTGAAGTACAGCTTGATTCTAACAGTGCAAATGTGGTTGTAGTGAGGACCCTCTGTTTGAGGTGTGTGGTTGTAATAAGGACACATTTGAATCATGATCAAAGGGACATCTCTGCATATAGCCTAAGAAACCAGATTTTAATAGTGTAAAACAGCTGTAGTACCTCTTTCATGACACATAATAACTTGCTAAAAAGTGACTTCTTAAGAATGAGTTCTCCGCTTACTGAATGTTTGTTTTTATAGAAAAATATTAAGTGCAAGTTCAGCCAGACTTTTTATTGATGTCTGAAGTATGATCAGATACTTCGACTTTCGCTTTTAGCTGTATTTGTCTCTAAACGTGTTTTTTACTGGTATGCTCGTTAATCTCAAAATTTCCTTTTTTTCTTTCTCTTCTTTTTCTCTAGTGGGAAGAGATTAGTGGTGTTGATGAGCATTATACTCCAATCAGAACTTACCAAGTGTGCAATGTTATGGATCACAGTCAAAACAATTGGCTGCGAACAAACTGGATTCCACGCAATTCAGCACAGAAGATATACGTGGAGCTCAAATTTACCTTGAGGGACTGCAATAGTATCCCTCTAGTTCTGGGCACTTGCAAAGAGACTTTCAATCTGTATTACATGGAATCCGATGATGACCATTTGGCAAAGTTCAGAGAGCACCAATTTACAAAGATTGACACCATTGCAGCTGATGAGAGCTTCACCCAGATGGATCTTGGGGACCGGATTCTCAAGCTGAATACAGAAGTCCGCGAGGTGGGACCTGTTAGCAAGAAGGGCTTTTACTTGGCTTTCCAAGATGTAGGTGCATGTGTTGCCTTAGTCTCGGTGCGAGTGTACTTCAAGAAGTGCCCTTTCACTGTCAAGAACCTCGCCATGTTTCCAGATACAGTTCCTATGGACTCCCAGTCCCTGGTGGAGGTGCGGGGTTCTTGTGTCAATCATTCCAAGGAGGAAGAGCCACCCAAGATGTACTGCAGCACGGAAGGAGAATGGCTAGTGCCCATAGGGAAGTGCTTGTGTAATGCTGGCTATGAAGAAAGAGGCTTTGCGTGCCAAGGTAACGATGCACTCCATGTTCATAGCTCAATTATTAACAGGGCTTTCCCTTTATGTCCCTACTCTGTGTATTGGGTCATGTTAATTTTCTGCAAACTCTTGAGAGAAATAAATTAGTCCATAAAATTGCCATGGAAATGAGGCTTATTTGGTCTGTGTAAATAATGTAATTTAATTTTGAAATATTTGACAAGGTTAAAACATTGATTTTTAGCTGATACATTATGTAGCAAGTGTAGTTTCTCTTACCACTCTTGGAATTTCTTTTGGTAGATTATACCTTTCTCAAATGCGTTTGTTATGTTGGAATATGTTGGGTTTTTCTGTGAGTGTTTCTTAACTTTGTGTCTGAATGTATAAGTAGTTAATATCTACTGCTGAGCTGCGCTGATTAGTTGGGGTTGATCAGAAAAAAATATATACAATTTGTTCAGGCAGTGGTGTAGTACCTAAATGCAGATGCATTTGGAAAATTAATGTTTGAATATCAAAATTGCATTTTCATGGAAATGCTCGTGTATTCAACTCAAAATCACTTTCTTCATACTTATTGATTTCTGCAAACTGTGGTTATGTGAATGCTCCCAAGAACAGAGACTTACACCAGAGATGTTGATTTTTTTTTTTTTTTTTTTTTCCCAGAAATGCTCTTTCAGATGTTATAAAAATACATAATGTATTTATCCAACTTCAAATATTAATCAAAAGACTGGTGGTCTATGTTTTGCTTTTTACAGAAACATGGTGTGGATTTTTTTGACTAGTTAAAATTTTAACCTCATTTCACAGAGCCTGGCTCTGTTAAATTGTCTTACTTAAGTAAATGAGTAGAAGTTAAATGTAAATATCTGGAAAGGTCATAGATAGAGGGAGTAGCAGCTGAGATGTTTATTGTGTGGTGTGATGTGAAGGTATGTATGCAGATATGCATGTATCCATAAGAGCAGAAATTTCAAAGCTATTGATATTTTACTATTTTGAACCTGGCTGAGAAAAGCTTTTTCCTTTCTCATTAGTTTGAAGGCAATCTTATATAAACATAGCAGTGCTGGAGGGCTATTAGGGTCTGACCAAGCCAGAGTAGGTATAGCTGTGTAGTTGTAAAACATACTCCTCTGATTATGGTGACGTTTTCACAACAGGACAGGTAAGATTTGTAGGAGAGGAGTAACAGTGTTTGATTTGATTTTGTTTTTGCTCTGAATATGAATAACGTGAGGAGTTGAGTATTTGTTTTTCTGCGTTTAGATACAGATACTAAGAACGAATTAAACTGTACTGCTAAGAGCTAAAATGAGGAGAGGATATTTTATTGTGCAGAAATGCCTCAGCTAAGGCCTCCTATAGCTAAAAATGTTGGAAAGTTGGTAATACTCTTCCAATTACTGCATGTAGTCTTGTTAACTACAAAACCTTTTGTCTTGTGGATAGTTGAAAGCTGTTGGATTAGAATTTAAATTACGCATGATCACAAAAAGGCAATCACTGCAGAAAGTGTCAGACTGAAAATGAGCAAACAAGTGGAATTTAATAAAATACATAAAATAAATCATTTGATTAAGAACAGATTTTCAGGTGCTTGGGGAAGTCTAGACATAGAAAACTCAGCTTTCCAGAGATTAGGGTAATAGTGAGTATATGGCATAGAGTAATAGTGGGTTACCAGGGACATATATGGGTGTATCATGCATGATTTTGAAGACATAAAATCAGGCCATTGAAATACTTTTTTTTTTTTTTTTTACCTCCACTTGCTCACCAACCACTGATCAAGAGAGCGATGCATGATGAAACCATTAGCAGTAGTGACAGGTCATTCTGGTTTATTCTGATTTAACATATAATGTTCTGCTAACTTTTATTGGAAGTCATATTTATCAAATATTGTTGGTGTGATGTGATTGAAGTGATACTCTAAAAGCAGTCAGTAACCCAAAACCTCTGATTTGTTTGCATCTGTAATCCAGCAGGAGTTGAATTGTTCAGAAAAAGAGTTCAGTTTTAAACATATGTTCTAACCTCAGGCTGATGTTCACTCCTGCATCTATCTTTTTCTTTCTTTCTTCACTCTTTCTCTTTTTCCTCCCTTTTGGGCTGGGTCTTGTGGTTTTTCAGTCACAATCAAGGAGAGCAATGCAATCAGGACTGTTCAGTCTGAAGAAGAGCCAAAATGTAGTGTTGCAAGTATTGGCTGGAATGAAGGCCTTATTGGGGAAAAAAGAAATTGTTCAGTTAAAGTTTGAAATAGTACCAACATAGAAATTTTTATTTTCATAGTGGTCGGCAGCATTTACTAACTTGCAGTGGCCATCACTACTTGATCTCATTTCTTGAAATTAATTTTTGTTTGTTTGCTTCTGGAACGTTGTTTTCAGAAGCAGTATTATTTTGCATTAGCAGGAGATCATCACTGATGATTAAAATTAAGGACCCTAATGGTATGGCATCAGCCCATTTAGATTTCATTGAGAACAGTTTCTCTTGAGCAGTTATGAAGGCATAGTCATGCTCTCAAATGACACAAGCCTTTTTTGTCATTGGTGTGATACAAACATAACCATGTTTGACTCTGAAAAGCCTAGGCTGGACTACTAGGCTCATTAAGCATCTTGGTTCTTGTTGGTTAGGTTGTTGTTATGCTCCTGATCCTACCAACTAATCCCTATTTTACAACTTACTCAGCAGTAGGAAGCCGACTTGTTAAAGAATTGGGACCCATTTTGTCATTACCACACTTATCCTCACTGTTCTGAGTGTGTGGAAAAATGATTTATCCAAAGCTAATTGTTTATCCTCTCCCTAAGGAATTCTGGTTTTCATAATCTATGTGAGTTAACGGTATGAGAATTAACACCTATTACAGCAAATATTTTTACACTTGTTAATTACTTTGGAGGAAGCGGCTTCATAGAAGTTAGAGAAGATGTTACGTTTGGACCATTTTAGAAAAGCCATTTTTTCATAGTTTTTTTTTTCCTGTTGGCTATGTTAGTTATAATTAGTTAACTAAATATGATGCCTGTAATCCATTGTTTACTATTCATTATTGAAGCTTTGTTAACACATACTTCATAGTCATCCTAATAAATTATATTTTAATATGTTCTTGTTGAAAGGAACAACTTTACAATATCTTTTCCAAATTGTCTTCATGCCATCCTGATCCTTTATAGCATCTTCTCTGTTAGAATTACTGCTTTGACTTGTTTCAATTAGAAAATAACATGTGGTTGGAACTACACAGTGAATGTTACTCTTTCCGAGATTCTTCTGTCAGTTCCCCAGTCAACAGGGGTAACTCATCTTTTCGTTTTATCCATTAAAAAAAAAAAAAAAACCACAAAACGTAGTGAATTAGATCCAAAGGTTTATCTGCCTTAATGTCCTTTCTCTGATAGTGGCTAATAGCAGATTCTTGAGGGAAAAAAAACAAACACAACTGTACGTAGCGCTGCTTTACTGGGTACATCTTTCATCTTCTACCAATCAGCTTTTTCCTTGCACAGTATTAAGATGTGTCTTGTAAGAAATACTATTTAATAGGAACCAGTATCTTGCCACCTGTTAACTTGTCTACTTTTTTGACTCACTTATTTTGGGCGTCTGTAAGTTTATATGCCCACGAATGTGATAGCTAGTCTTGCGTAGGAAAACATACCTTCTTGCTATGTGTAAGCCTTAAGTTTAAAGTCATTTAAATAAGATTTACCATATCCTTTTATAGTGAGAAAATAACTGTTGCCTTTTTAGCTTGGGTATTAATGATAGTCTTGATCTATCTTGTCTGCTACTTGCTCTGTATTTTCCCAGCTCTAGGTCTATTTTAGTGCCTTCTTATTTGGAGGACAAGCTAATTTTTCCATACTTATCCTTTTTGACTGAGTTATCCATTTTGATTGCCCTTTACCTACTCAAAATAATGCAGCATTTATAAAAAGGACAATGAGGCTGGCATGCAATATCCAAGTTACAAATACACAAAGAACTTATGCAGTGGCATAGTGTTTGGAAAGGAGCATTCACATCACCTGTCCAGTTAGTTATTTGTATGTGGAGACACTAGGCTCTGTTGGGTTTTGAATGATGGAGGAAACAGACTTCATTATGTGAAGGTTGGCTAGTTGGGGCAATAGTATCAAAACAAATGGGTAAATATAGGATAAACATTAGAAAAAATTGTCTTTACTGTTAGTTCTGTAATAATTTGGTTGGAGAAATATTGGAAGACTCATTTCAGGAGATGTTTTTTTTTTTTTTCCTAAAGCAGTAACCAGATGATAAAGGAAATCTTGTACTAGCAGGGTTGGACTAATAAACCTCTTCCATCCCAAATGTGTCTATTCTGTTGTTGATTTATTTCATGCACTTTAGAAAGCCTAGCTGGACATGAACCTTTTTTACACTGATATTATCATATAATTAGCAAACATGCAGTGGGCAATTATATACCTACATAGGGCTGTGAGCTTGAATGTTCTTTTGAGTACTGCTGATAGGTGAGGCTTTCACTGAAAAAGTCTTTGTGACTCACCATCAAGTGGAAGGTAAAATTGGTGTGCCTGAAAGGAATGGCTCACTAAGCATTGAATTATGTTTTCAGCACACTACCATGTCAGTGGTTAGTTCTAAATTTTAGTTGCTGGAACTCCAGTAGATCTGAATTGTACATTTTCTCATGATGCTATATAATAAAATCGTAAGTTTAACCTCAAGTGACTGATACATTGTCTATAACAAAGCCAGAAGAAAAAGAGAGGTTTTAATCTGATGGTCCCTTCCCGGTGTACATCATTTTTAGCAATTAATCATGTGGGCTGAATTGGAGGAAAGGGAGCAAGGGGTGAGGGAGGGAGAGAGAGGTGAAGCGTGCCTGGTTATTGAAAAAAAGACTCCACGAAATCTCAACTAACACTAAATTATTCAGTGCTTTAGGTTGTGTATATATATCCCAAATCATATTTCTCTCTCTGTGAGTTTCTGGTGATACGAAAGGAATGCCAT